TGTCTTGTTTTTTCCGTTTTGCCTCGTTACCTTGTTCAAGCGGAGCCTGTGTCCTGGCGGTTCCGACGACCCCTCGGATCTATTGCCGATTTAGTAATGAACGTCTCATTTTTTCCAAGCGACATTGACCTAGCTTATCAACACCTTCTTTTATCCTTTATTCCCGATTCTGCCAGAACTTGTCATTGTAGATATTTTACGTGAAGTCGACTTTAAGCAGAAGAGAAATTTTCATTGTTTTCATTCGGATGGTAGCCATCTTACGCTCTTTATTCCTACACGACTTCACGTGAGTTCACTGCTGCTACGGAAGCTACTAATTGCTGCTACTGCTACCGCTGCGGTCGTCGTAGTTCTCTGCGTGAGTCCAGCAATAGAAGTAGGTTCGACGTAGGGCATTCATGGCGATTCAGGGGGTGTAATGAAAGTAAGCAGAATCGAACCGTACATTTTGAGACGGCAACGAGCACACTTGATTAACATTATCTGGAGCCATCGAGCACGCGAAGTTGAGCGTGCGCACGCGTACGACCGGCTTATGCAGTAACTCAGTAGTCATGTGTACGACAGTGTACAACTACATAAGGACCAAGAGCAAAGCACATGCGGGCTAATGCACCGAACGTTGGTGCTAAACTGTAAATTACTAGAAGAAAGGATAATTTAGTAAGCACCCTGCATCGAACTGTTTTCAAGTTTGATTACTTCTGGTCTCGCAGTTCACTGACTTGGTTTGCTACCTCGCATACGAATAGAAACTCACAGAAACACTAAGTATTGTGTGACACTGTCATAGTACTATAGTTATATAGAAGAACCTGCCAGAGACGAAATTAGAGCTTTTCGTGTAGAAAATCACGTTTATAGTACAGGTCGGTTAAAGAAGCCGGATAAAAAAGCTCCCTACCCAAACACCATTTACCAATTTGAACCTTTTGGAGCTGAGGTGCTGTGTAGGCAGGTATCACTCAGATTAGGAACTATACCTTTGTAGTTTGCAAGAAGCTTGCATGCTAGGGCCTTTTTACCATTCAAACAGAGTCATGTGCAATTTGTCTCACATTCGATCTTTTCCATATGCACCTTGGAAGATACGTAGGAACTCCCCATTAGTCCTTGTCGACATCAAATAACACCTATACATATTACTTGTGAATAGGAACTACCTCTCAGCCAACGTCACACTTTGTGTGGTGGGGCAGGCAGGATTTTGCCACTGCAAGAGCTCGCCTGTATAAAACTTGTCATGCTAAAGCTCACTACATCGGTGAAACTCAAATGGTAATAATGACGACCATTCAGAGCTTTCTCAAGGCCTCACTAACAATGTTCAAAAATGAGAAGTTATACGTCTCACCAAGTCTCCCTGACATACGGCCCACACATGCTTCTCTCGCTTAGTTAATTACTATGACCCATATAGTATTAGAAATCATTTATTTTCTACCACGCATAAATGACAAGACCATCCGCAGGGGCTGAGCGACCTGAAAGCAAACAAGTCTTTTATGATGATGCCATCACTGTGCTCGCCAGGGTATATGGCTTCGCATAAGTAGCGGCTTTAATTATGTAAACGCAATGTTCCGATATGAAAGTTGTCGAGTCTCCAATAGAAGACCACGTATATAGTGCCCCGAAGTACGTAGGCTTATTGCTTTTAGGTTACAGTTCAATACATGACACTTTTAGAGAACGTGATAGTTAATAAGCATGACAGTCTGCAGGTACCTGTGGGTTGCCCCGATCCTCATTGTAAACATTACAACTGAAGGTAAAGCTATTTGATAACGCGTTACAGATTTGCCATTGTGCAGCTAGCACGGAGAGAAAAAAAGAAAATAATTTCAAAAACTGTGTACAATATGACGTGGGCTTGTGTGGATACCCGCTCTGGATAGGTGTTGTGTCGATTTTAGAGTATTGGGATTTGGGATTATCGTTAATGTGTTGATCCCTTCGGAGCAAAGTAGAAGGAAGAGCCTGTTTTCTAGTCGCCCATTGAGTACTTCACGAGCCGTTTAAGGAAGAGGTAGGCATAAAGATAGAGGTAAGGAGAAAGGGACGAAAGAAAGTGAAACGTCGGACGGTGGCCAAGCCATCGACTTTTTCTGCTGCTGCTGCTGCTGTAGCTCCATTGCTCTTGAGTGGCCCGATCGGGTGTGAGTAAGTAGCTAATTATGAGAATTAGCTAAGCAGCAAATTTGACTTTGTCCAAGGTTAAATTTTTGCTAATACTACTAGAACTCTCGTAGCGCACGCTCGTGTCGCTTTCTATTGGCTCGCTCGCTTGTTCTCCTAGCCCCCATTCGTTCGTTAAATTTTCCAATCTAGGCGATCCTCAATATAGTTATTGCAAACTACGGCAGTGGCCTTTGGACCAGCCAGCCGAATCCACGTTGGCATTCTCTTCTTACTGAAACGTTCGAGGTCGTCCTATGCCCTGAACTTCGAAAGCATATAGCTTACTCCACTAGCTCAACTTGCAGTTTATTCCCTAAAAGTGAATGTGTGTTTGGAATGATGAAAGAGCACTGACTGTTGAGCCAAAATTAAGACTTTTTGTAGCTTAAAACAATCTTACCGAACCAAATATGACGCAACCTGATTTTCTGATCTGCATAAAAATTATGAAAGAATTATTTGAATAAAAGCCGCAAAACCGTAAAAATTTTGCTACAATTTTGCGGCTTCTATGCAAAACATTCTCATAAGTCATCCTTTCATTGATATAAAATTAGGACCATCAAGTAAATTCTGCAAAAAAACAAATAGATAATGGCGTGATGGTGTGAAATCTGGGCTATACGGCGGACATACATTACAATTTACACTCAGCTTCTCGCAATTTTTGCCCGCTAGCTAAATATGTATGTGATTTATGGGAAAGACGACGTTTTCTTCATTCAGTAATTAGGGAAAATTTTCAGCTCTTGTTAGCCATTCATAGCCTGAGTCCGAATCGATCGTTCTTCGCGATGGCACTAATTTGTAACACACCGTTTGGTAAAATCTGTTTTTGTCAATACTATTAATTGTAACCGACCAAATAGTTCTTCGACGACGAATATACTTTAACCTGTAGCTCATTTTATCTAATTATTAAAGTTATTACTTAATTATTACTGCTAGTTAGTTGACTTCATGAGGTGGCAGTGGCCTTTCAATTTATTGATTACTCTAGGAATCAGCTACCTTTATTCATCCAGGATAGTTGGTTTAACTGGACCTATAAAGGACCAAGTTCTGTTTACCAATTTCTAATATACTAGTTTACCTATATCGATCGATCCATTAACATACTCAAACATTTTATTAAAAAAAAAAAAAAAAAAAGCAGCTAAGCACTAAAATTATTACAAAATTTGCCGTAAATAACGTGACAATACTTAATGATGTTGGGAGCTCGTCCTTCTACGTACTCGCTAAGGTCCCCCATGTTCGGCATAGCAGTGCGTCAGCATAAGCTAGGGTCCTTATACTTAAAGACCTTAAACACTACAATCTTTTGTTAAACCACGTTATTTTACAAACGTTGACACATTGCAACTGGACTGAAATTGCAAAATTAATTCAACTTACTACTAGAAGCTTCACTAACCTCATCAGACATCATACCTAACCTACCCTAATCCATACCAACACTTCCGTTTGGGCACAGGGATTTTGCTTCGAAACAATTTTCAGTTTCCTAGATTGATGGCTGTTCCTACAGGGTTAGCAGATATCGAAAGCTGTACAAAACATAACCTTGTCTTTCTTTAGATCCCTTTTATATGTTACACCTATTTTAAGTGGTCGAGACCGATCTCATTTTGTAGCATAGCATTACAAGAACGTTGAAATAGTATACATGTACTCTACCTATGTAGATATATTTTAGGGTTCGACCTAGGTTTTCGCGAAAATGACGCATTTCAGGTATGACGTGCTATAGCAAAAATAATTAGGCCGACTCACGCGAAATATGACGTAAGATTAGTGCGGTGGTCGTGATGATAATTATTATTAAAAGGCGACCGAGACAGTTAGGTGCGACGTGGTACGATGCAGCGCGGCTCTTCTACCTTCTGCACGTTACGAACCGTAGTTGTTACAAATACAGCGCGCGTATGTACAGGTAACGATGACACGATTATTGCAAAGGTAATAGTTTTCCCTATACGGTGCGGCTAGGGAAACGACAAATCTGTAGGTCTCAATCAGTGCGAGTTGTAGGAGTGCAACTTCTGTATCCCGCACACCTCCACTCATAGAAACAACAAGAGGAAGAATACAAAGCAGGCAGAGAGGCGGTGGAGATCGGCGGAAAATGGAGAGCAGCTTTATTGAGGCAAGGTTGCAGTCATAGGAGTAGCAAAAAGACGACGACCGTCTTTGAAGAAAAGCAGGCAGATTGGACAGACTGAGCGGTCAGAGACATACGTTGCTTTATAGTTTCTTCAAGCGTTGGGTAGTGCTGTCGTTTCACCGAGAATGTGCACTGTAATATAAAGTGGGTAGAATAAAGGGGCAACAGCGGCGGAAGCGATATACATCGCACGAAGCACGGGAACAGTGAAAGACAAAGCCTCCCCAAAGCAGCTTTCCCCACTCTGGGAACCCATTTTCTTTCGCACCAAAGATTCAATGGTATCATTACGTTATGCCCACCAAACTGCGATTTAGTTGTACAGATCGAACGATCAGTGATTTCACTTGGGTGACCGTAGTGTTTAGAACCCACTGAGTCCAATTGGCTAAACTTCTCTAACAGAGACGACCTGATAATTCTTTGAAAAAAGTGTTCCTTGTTTGTAATTTACAAATATTATCAGCAATTAATCGTAGGAGAAAACAATACGCAACATGCTGCTACCGATGACTTACGAAGTTCAGTCTTACAAACGTAAATTCTAAGAGACATAGCGAGTAATCGTTTCTTCAGGTTAAACTTTCTTTTAAAAGTATAACCAGTCTTATGGTTTTGTGCTACTTTGTGCTTCTACTTATATTTTCAGTTCGGGGGGTGACGATTTGGAGCAACCGGGACCCAGCCAACAGCTGGAAATCAGACCTGAAGGTTCAACAGAGCAACACCAAAAGTGTTCGGACAATACAAAGACCCCTCTACAAGAAGACGACATGACTGGCGACGAAGTGCTGCGTTGGTGCCAGCAGGTTACTCAAGGTCAACTTACTTCTCTCCTTTAAAACTTGTCTCGTTTAGTAAAAGAGTTGACTATGTACACGAAATTATTGAAAATAGTAGCAGGCAATGACACAATGTACAAATTGACGTAGCGCTAGCAACATGGAGGTACGAAGCTAATTTCGACACGCCTTGTCCAAATTTCGCAGGCTATCCAAGTGTGACCATCACAAATATGACGACGTCGTGGCGCAACGGACTAGCGTTCTGTGCAGTCATACACAGCTTTAGACCTGATCTCATCGATTTCAACAGTCTTTCACCATATGACATCAAAGGCAATTGCAAAAAGGTCTGTGATAACAGAGATAAAAATATGACCTAATTGAGCTAGTCACTTTACCGTTGGGGCATTATGTTTAGTTAAGCCAGTGATGTTCTGCGTACTTCTAAAGGACTATAAGTCGAACAGGTGGGGTAGCCTAAATCGGAGTGAATCCCTCTCCGCAAACTCACACCTCAAGATTTTCGAACACCAACGGCAGGACAAAACATTTCATGGAAATCTGTACTATTAAACAACTACTCGTTTCGCATATATCCTCAAGGGATCTAGCAATTAAACAGATTAACACTTGATAGTAACATCTGCTTTATTATCGATGCGAATTCGGACGATTTCCCACCGTAGATCTGCTGCAGAGGTAATTGCAAACCTTGCTACAAACTTCGGTAGACGATGCTCATGCTACATAGTTAACGCGCACGATACGTACCGTTCATTTGCGTACATACATGTTATATCCATATAATCGAAAGTAGGGGTTCGTGACATGTGGACAGCTTCATCTAATATTGCTAGCCATATTTCGTCCTTCTGTCATCTTAGCACCCTAACCACCTGCAGCTTTGAGTGGTAGTCTTATGCCTATCTCTGCCTACATTTGCCTCGTTAGCATTTTTATTCAAGTCAGCCCGTGAACCAACGACACGATCATGGCATACGTTTTAGCGCCTCCTCCTCTTAGCAGCAGTTGATCTTCGTGTTCTCGCTCCCCTATCTCCAACTATCCATTTCTCGTTTTTGATCTTCTTAATTTTTGGCCAGGTATCATTTAACTTCATCGTCTTCGTCGTCGTCGTCGTCGTCGTCATTCCATCCAGCAGCCTTTAGACGCAACCGTTTTACGCTGAATTTTTGTCCTTCAACCAGATAATACCTATACATTTTACTGTAATAATAGTGAAGTTTGCGAATAGATTAAAGAAATGATGAATTTATATAAAATAGAATTTTGCATAAAGTCGAATTTAAGTATGGTATACGATGGTCACACTCCTCTGCGTTTCATCGTCGTTCACTCTGAGCTAATAAACGTTTAGATTCATTCTCTCGTTATCCGCCGGTCGTCTCGTTATCGTTAAATAATGATGTTTTCATCACGAACGTTAGTTATTTCTAACGTTCGTGATGAAAATTGCATGATGAGCTTCTACTTAGTGGCCAGCATGGTATGTTACAGCGGCTAGTAGCCGCGTAAAAGACCATTTCCGTTTGTCTATCGTACATTGCTTAAAAATTTTACGGTTTTTTTCTCCGCTGTCGCCGTCCACTCTGTTCGCAGGGGCGAGCAAAGGCCGCTTGTGCATAAGCTGATTATACAAGGCCCGCTATCATCTATAACGTTTATCTGAAGTGTTATCTCGACCCTTATGTAAACGTCATTGTATGGTCAAAGACAAATCTTCTTGTTTACATGAAATATTTTGATTATGTATTATCTCTAAAAATTCGCAGCTTCTATTTTCGTCTACGCCTTATCAGCTCCCATAGTACCCATCTGGTTGATACAACTTTGTCTACAAGCGCTGTAAAGCCGCAGTTTATTGGAACCTGAAAGCTCGTACTACAGGTCGTAGTGACTAGATTAAAGAAATCAAGCAAGATCGTAGTGCAATAAAGTTAGTGGGCTAAAATATAAAAACTAATGTACACACTCTGTCAGAAGCCGAATGCTTCCAGGCACCCAGTCCTCTCTTCAAGCTAAGAGTAGGCCTTCACTAGATAGCGTTCGATTGTAGTTACAGAACCTCTTCGAAAAAAAAAAAGTACCGCTCGAAACACGTACGTGTTTCTTACGTGTATGAAAATAAGGTGGACCTTTAAAGCATAGAATTTCTTAGAATTCTTTAGATGTGTAGGATTTTGTGTACATGAAGACATCTATCTGTTGGCTTGTGTCTCACTAGAAAATGTACTGAGCCTCACATCTGGCCCTGGTGAAGTCGATGGTCCCGTTGAAACAGCACACGCTCCAGAAGGCAGTGGCACTATTCTGAAAGGCGCCAATGGATGGAAAACACGGTGATAAATCTATTTTACTTCAACTATGATGAGAATTCGTTTTCCGTCCATCTCACAAGTGTACATTTCCATTTGTCGAAAACCGACTTTTTGTATCTGTAACACAGCCGTGCTACTCTTTTGCGTTCAGATGTTTCATCTCGTTCAGATGTTGTTGCAAGATGAGAAACTGGTTTAGCGTAATTTAGCGGCACTTGATCAATTTGATTTAGTGCTATAGTTGATATAGAAAATTTTTGGCTCAATTCTCTGCCATTGGTTCTAACAAACATGGTAGTACGACATTTCAGAAACCATTCATTGTAGCTCTAGGTGTTTGAAAACGACAACTTAAGGGCACTCTAAGCATACTTAGCGCAATTTCCTTTTGAATTGATCCTATCTGTTCAAGGGAAAATATATGAGTAGGGCGGGGAAAATCCTGCAGGGCCGTCCTTACAGAGCTTCCTAACATTGCCAAATTCATAAAGCACAGTTCCCTATAGCTATGTATGCCAGTATTCGTGTTGTTGAAGGATACGAGAACGTCTCAATGGTGCCATTTTGACATGTTCCTTCTCCGATGCAGGCGTTTGATGCAGCGGCAGAGTTAGGAATACCTCGCCTGATCGACCCCACAGATATGGTGATACTCAATGTGCCAGATAAGCTGGTTGTCATGACCTACCTATATCAGCTAAAAGCTCACTTCACGGGAGAAGAAGTACAAATTAAACGAATTGGAACAACTGCGGCTGATTCAATGTACATCCTCGTCAGGTGGATATCACTGTGTAACCTACAATGTTATAACCTAGTATTGGCTGCTTTTTTTTTTTTTTCTATGTGAGAACGGTATCGCAATCGATCTTTGACGAAAGTAATCACTCGACGATCATGGTCACAGTGTCAAAACAAATTTCGTTGGCCGGAAGACGCGACTTCAGTCATCCCTCTGCCAACAGATGGCAAAAATTTCGATTTTATCATTAATAGTTAAGATATTATATAGCCATAATAGTAGTAACACGTCTAACGCTTTTGGGATGCTCGCTCAAATTCTTATAGATTGGGCATCATACGCACACGCGTATTTATCAGTAAACGTAATTACACTGTAGAAACTATATTCGGCTGCTTCGATAAAGCAACGTATTCTACTAAACATTGCACTGTATTTACCCGTCCATCTTCTAAGAGAACTCCGACATATTTACAGGCAACCGTCGTCGATCGAAGAAGAAGGGGCTGATTATGATAGTGAAGAAGATTTAGCTGAAGAGCCACCTAGTCCGCCGTTGCGTGTGATTCAATTACCAAAATTTGTGCGCGCTGCGGATAAGATGGCGGACCTCAAGTTCAAACTTAATGCGCCGCCCAAACCTCCTCATAGAGAAAGGCGTAGCGAAAGAAAAGTTGGTAACGCTTTAACCTTAGGAAGATAGAATATTTAGTTCAGGAGGCCGATTACTCCGCAAAACTAAACAACAAGATTCGGAGTACAAACGTCACTTTAACTATGAGATAACGATAATAATCATAATAACAGGATCGATTTGACGAGAATACGTGCTTCTTGAACCATAGTTTTATGATTTATTCTAGGAGAACGTAGTTAACAACCGGTGTGGGAATAACACCGACGAGCAAGCGAACAAATTTACTGAAACCGAAAGCCATGATCGTAAAGCTAACCGGACAGTCACTATTAGACGGACCATTGAGCCCAAGCTGAAGGCGTTCGACTCCGACAGCGAGTCAGAGAAGTGCGCTACCCCTCAAGAGGCAGAAACGAGTCCTGGCAGTCCACTGGCCGACAACTCGGTCGTCACCGGTAGCAAAACAGAACTTAGCAGATCGCCCATAGCTCCGCCGCGGTCATTGTCGCTTCCGAATGGATGTTCCGATATCGCAAAGGTATCTAGCGTGTTTAATCCAATGCTTTAATCGGGGAATCGTTTAACGTCAAGTCTACCAGCAAGTGAAGGTGTGCAGCTTATAGATGTTTTTATGGCATGCTAACCGAAGTATTAAGTAATACAATTGTTGTCCTATTTAACTAAAAGAACGTTCATCGCCTCTGTAATCAGCGTCCAGAGAATCGTCAGGAAGAACTGAGAAGACGCGCCCAGCAGCTCCTCGAAGATGCTAAGAAGCAATCTCGCAATAGTACGCAACTTTACATGATGAGCACCAGCGTCTCCGATCAGCAACTGACCGAGGTGCGTTATTACATCGTAAAAGAGTGCGTGTATTGTTAAATAACCGACAGTTTCCTACGTGATCTAGGGTAATCCTGATGCCTATTCGCCTAATACTAGTTCGGGGCTAGAAGTCGTACGGATTTGAAACGAGACGTAACGACGCTTCGTTTTACGTCGAAAGCCAATTATCTGAAGCAATGACTGCGGTACTAGCGGTAACCGCTAGTATTTGTTTTTAACCGTGATATTTATTGTCAGCGGCGCAATACCCACTTTTCAAGATCTTTTTTGTAGTATAATTTCATAGAGTCGCGTCTATAACGTAGCATGTAATAGTTTATCTCAACCAGCCTCATCTAGTTGTAGATCACCGAGCAACCGCTTAATTGGCGTACACAGTATTGAACCAGCCGCCTGAGTATTTGGCTCGATGCTAGGTGACATCGTGGTACCAAACAGAAGATACCACCGCGCAAATTGCGATATTTATAAAAAGCTAAAAAGACGTGCTAAAATGGGGTACGTATGCACAACATGAACTTACTCAGTAACATTAAATATATGGAATTCTGTGCGACTGAAATGATAGAAAAGTATTCCGATTGGAAAAACATCACCTACGACAGGTACTAACTTACTACAGTATCTGCTCTCCTATACAGAATATTAGTGAGCTTGATTTGTACCAGGACAAGGTATTGCATGTGAAACAAGAAAGCTTAGCAGAAATAAGGACCGACCACGAAAAGAACGCGCGAGGACACTCAGTTGTTTTTCTATTACTATCGATAATAAAGATGTCTAGAAAGCAGGACAAAGGGCCAATTGCCCTTATTCTAAGTGTCCTTCTTAATAGCTCATGGTGAGGTCGACAGGATCAAGCTCTGGAACGTACCCGATGAATACGGCATCGACCCCACATGCTTCTCTATGATTAAATCACTACATGAAAGCAGCCTGGACGCGTGTCATGGAAAGTATGAATCCGGAAAACTCGAGCTGACCGAACGACTGGGACAGGTTATTCGACATTGCCGATCTTATTTTCGCTGTCTACATATAGCAGAAATAGAAATAGACATTTTGATAATGTCCCAGGAAGGCTTTAACGAATCGGAACTTCTTCAAAGAGACGAGCTTCACTACACACCAGCCCTTCTGTTCGTACAGCCATCAGATGGTTAAAGCCTTGTAGAATATTATATCGCCAGAAGCTCTCAACCGCCACTTTGTCCAAAAAACTAATAGTGATGCCCTTCAAAAACGGATTAAGGCTGGAGTGAATCCTACATTAATTGGAGATAAATCGCGCCTAGATAAAGTCACGACTACTTGAAGCGGCAGTAACTCGAAGAGTCCGGCGAAAAACTACAGCTAATACATATAGGCACACATGACCGGACGCTGTTGGGGCCAGCCAGAGTTCATTGGAACGCCTTAACTAAAATGAGTCAATCAAAATTTCTGGAAACACTGGACAGCTGCTGGAAAAGGACACCGAAAGGCTGACTCTTGTTGCTGCCAGTCCAGCTGATCAGTGGGCCGTGGCTACACTGATAATGACGGTAACTCTCAAGAGTCGAGCGAAAAGGTAGAAAAGTAGCATAAGACCAGGCAGGCTAAACGGATGTGGCTTCAACTGTCACTAAACAAAAAGCCAAAAATCTAGGACGGCCATTAAATATATATTTAATGGTTATAGCCATTAAACAATGCCTGTCGAACGATATCTGCGGACCATTGACTGCATAACGTGAGAAAGAAAAGCGAGATATTGCAGAAGGTATAGCATTATGGTAGACCCGAGTGCGTATTCAGCAACAACAGAGCAGGCTTTCTACGAACCCAAACACTTTTATTTTCTGCTAGGAAAATATAGTGTACGTCAAGCGTGGGATGGGGTCGACGACAACAAGCCATACCGCCCAAAATGTAACTCAAGTCATCTGGGCGAATGGACGGCTAGGACTTTCACCGGAGGCAAACCATATCGCTATCGGGTTGACGAAAACAACACCATAAGGACCTGGAGCGCCACAACCGTCATGCAAGGACGCCCTGCACAACCGATCTGCATACGCTAGCATACCGTTTTATCATGCATTAGTAAACGAATTACAGAATATCAGATAGAAATATTTACTGAACTATCAAACGGTGCATACGCTACTAATAGTTAGCCAATGTGTGTACGTACATCGCATGCACACCCACATACACATACACACATCTCTTTGTTTTCCTGAACGGGAATCATGAGCTTGGTTGGTACGTCCAACGAATCTTTCATTCTAATTTCTTCATAATATTAGTGCCAAAAATAATTATTGTTATTACAAGTGACTAAATCGGCGCGCATTAAAAATTGATAGGCCGAAATTAAGCGACGTGAACACCTGCGCGATCGCGCGCGCCGTCTGATCGCCGAGGTGAAACAAGGCCTTACGCCAGCCTTAGACCCGGGCCCAGGTGAACCTCAGCCGGGTGTTCCACTGTTTAACTCAGCTTTTTCCCCGGCCAGACCTAACGCCAGAGTGAACATTAACGAAACCCGTTGTGGATCTTCCTCATGTGAGTACCAGGGAAGTTTGATATCAGTCTTGAAGATCAATTCTTGTCTTTAATACACAGTATCTATTTGTTTCCCGAGAACGTTTTATCTATGTTCAATTGCATTAGAAATGGCATTAAGAGGCATTTATAGAGCATGTTAAGTATTTGTGAAGGATCCATTACTAATAAGCAGATTTTCACAGTAAGTTAGTCTTATCCAGTAAAATAGGCATAGAATAGGAAAAATAGGATAGAAGGCATAGATAGGAAAAATATTAATAAATATTATCTGTGTCTATTTCCGTGTCCAATTCAAAAAGTGTCAATTTGATCGGCTCAAATCAATGTCAACTGCGTACCAAATATATCCGAGGATTTCTACAACTAATTAATACAGACACGCATGCACAGAGCGACTCATTAAAATCGACAGCGAACAGGTCCGAAGCTACGTGCGGCTCTGCCAATTTACCATATGTTTTTTGCTCTATGGCACCGGCAATGAATATGCGAAAGCTATCAAAGACACTTACGACAGCTTCTGCGGTGTTAAGTCGTAGGCCACATATGGTAGCGAAGGCGCTCGTTTGGGATTCTACTGGCGGAAAATAAACCAATTGTTCCACATTTTGAACTAACTAGTTGTAAAAATATGGAACTTCATACTAAATTATTTTAGTATGTACTCGTCATTACTTCGTATAGCATTCTCCTCGCATATTTCGTCTCGCTCGTTAGTTGTCTGATGCTGGAGGGATACGTCCGGTCTTCCAGATCCTCCTCGTTACCGGACAAGACCTATTGGTTGAATTTTTTCTTTTAGATAGCGTTGTTCATTCAATGTAATTAGACCATGTACACATCTTTGTATATTGCCTTATTTTTCTAAAGCATTTCTTCCACGCAAACATCTAACAAGATTTGAGAAAATCCGTGAGAATCCAAGAATTCCGTGAGAAAATCTGGAATTTTCTCACGGAAATCTTGTTTAGCCTGAGGATTAAGCGTACTTGCATGCTGCGTGCTACGGATGTCCAAACGGTACGTTCGGAAGACGTAGAAATTTCTACGTACCTCGTAGAAGCTTCACTTTGGCACCGTCCAGCCGTGATGCACTCAGACCGAAGGACTGCTATATGTGTGAAGACTAAATGATGCATTTCAGCCAAACGGTGAACTCAACATTACAAAAGAAACCAATGAAATTCAACAAAAATATGAATTCCATCGCTTACTTTTTTAATCAAATTTACTACCAAATTTATTATAGACACCAATATTTCGAAGTCATAGTGAAAACAATGTGTATTACTCCTCTTTTGAAATGCGGAACTAATCATACCTTTGTCTACTTCATATCGACGTAGAGGCAGCGTTTTTTTTCATCTATATTAATTCTGTGCAGAAATTTGTCATTGTGACTTAGTGTTGCCGCGTCGTGCTGACATTGGCCACAAATACTTCAGCGATAAGTCTGCAGTTGTTCGAAGGGCGCTCTTTAAGATGAGAAATTATTTTTTATACTTTGAAATGAAACTTTTTGTATCACATGAGGGAATTAAAATAGGCATGTGAGGAGCTTTTGCGAGCGGGATATAGAGGTAAACAAATTATCAGGTAAATTTTAAAAGCAACGACTCTTTCTTTTCGACCGTCACAGTATATGTTTATAGTATTGCTGGACTCATGTTCAACGTCTTTTCGATTAACAGCCCGCCAATGATAGAGGACAAAGAAAAATTGCAGTTTAGCACGAATCTGTGACCCTGATAAGTAACAGCATGTTCAGATAGCTCTTATCTAGAGCATTTCCGTAAAATATTTCTGTTATAGATCGCTAATGCTTCTACCGGAACATACGTACGTACACAGTGTTCACGGTCAATTCAAACACAATGTAGGAGATTTCTCATAGCGGGGATGTGTGTAAATAAAAAGCAATTCCTTTGAGTACGAAACAGTTATGGCAAAGACAGGATATGGGTGACGACCAGCTATTGTCCAGTGTCGCCTACCGAAGAGAATCATAGAGGACACGTTGTCGATAATTGCCGATAATAATAATAAAAACGATACGGTAATTCTCCCAGTTGTTCGCATCCTAACATACAGAAGAGATTTCATTGAAGAGAAGAGATATTTGTGATAGTCTTGAATTCGCTCGCAGAAGATATATTTGAGAGAAGTTATCCACGAGCGCCAGTGGCAGACTTTGTCGTTTGAATTTATATACAGTTTAATTGACTTTTACTTTCTCTGATCTTTTTTTGGGCCTCTGCTCTATTGTGTGTGATCTATTTAAGGACTAGGTTTCGGCGACTTTACCCGTAGTAACAGCACTTCGGTCGCGGTTCCTAGTAAAAAGTTATTTGCTTAAAGGGAGTGAAGTTTTGCAAATTAGTTTTAAGAAGTTCAGGCTTTACAGTAAAGCCATAATCGGAACAAATCGTACTTACATTGAATAAAAACGTCTGTTACGCTTTTTCGATACGTGTGAATTGTCGTCCAAGTCGCAATGTATCTACATCGCACTGTGTGTAGCAGGATATGTTCGCTGTAATGGTAACCGATTTCTGCATTATGTCACTTCTTCTCTGATCGTCCTCAGCCACCCTTTACTAATACGCTTCTCATCGCAAATCAAGTCCGGCGAAGCCCTTCTTCGCAGTATGTTCTGCGTCTCCATGTCTGCGGCCACCGTCACTACTAGAATAAGGGCTGAAGCTCAGCTTTTCCCCAGAGTCGCACAGCAGAACGTGCTTTCGCTTTGCCGCTAACTCAGCTAAGAGCTTCTTATAATGGGGATACTTAGCCACGTTATGGTAGCAATAGCGTTGCTTTATTTGTTGCCGTCGGCTACTCTAAGGATGCTGCTGTGGCTGTTATCCTAAATGAGCCTAGAATAGGCCACTGGAAGGGCATGCTGGGTGTAAGACTACGTACAGAGGAACCGGATAGCACGACAACAGACGACTCCCTAGTACAGAAAGCACACACGAAATTCTTGTCGTCCTAAAGGAGGCAGGAGTTAGGGGTGTCGCCAGGATAGTGTTGTTTTGTTGTTTGATGACTCATCAAGAGAGTGGTCTCCCAGGCGGCCTATTCAAGCTATGTGGTGCCTGGCAATGGGAATCACCACGCTGGCAAGCCTGAACAGTTAAAAACAACTTTGCAGGGTCTTCTGCCTACGCTTCGAACTTAACCTAAAAACTATTCAAATCTGTGAAAGTGTCTCGCATTTCTAGGAGTGCCTTTCTTATAATCCCTAGTTTAAACTTAATCGTATGTTCTGCGTTACGTTTTAGCTCCGTCCGAAATTAACGGCAATTCAAGTCGAAGTTCCAGCAAAGAGCGCAGCGTTAGTCGGACCTCGAGCAGGGTAAGCGAACATTGTTAATCAGTCGTCTAACGGTATAAGGCAAGACGAAGAAGAGAAGGAACGTGAAATTGGCACGAAAATCGATACGTTCAAGATAGCAACCAGTATATCAATCAAGTTGTAATCCTAATCCTTGTGTGCATTTTTATCGGTGTAAACCTAAGACTCCTACGGTGAGGAAGATTATTCTACTTGGCAACTTACTGCTCCTTCAGGACCGTATTAGAGGAAGTTAAATATATGCCGCGGCCGTAAAATAACAAAACATCATATTGCATTGATTTCTGAATGAACACTAAATGATCTACTTATTATACAAAGACTTCAAACACCTTTGTCAATCGCCCATTTGGATGAATTCGACAGGATTCGTGTCGTAAGCCGACCTACATTGAGCTTCAGTTAGAAGCGCTAGAACGTGAGCGTCGTCAAATTGACGAAGAGGCAGAGCGGTTTGAGCCCTATCTCCGGCGAGTCATGAAGGTCGGCAACAAGACCGAAGAAAATCGATGCATGCAGAAATGGTTCACTCTAGTCAACAAGAAAAACGCTCTGATCAGACGGCAAATGCAACTCAATCTCGTGTAAGTAGCTAACGTACGGGGCTGTATTCTAGGTTACCTGATGTAATGGACTGCAGGCGTGGTCATGTGTGTGGTGCGCCTGACCATAACTACTAAATAGGTAGATCCTGTTTCCCAATACGTACGATATTGGCGTTCTTGACTCGTAAAAATAATCCACTAAACGTATACCTCGTGCCAAATTGTACGATAACGTAGAGAACAAGAAGAGGACCTGGAACGCAAATTTGCCCTCCTTCAGAAAGAGCTGCGCGCCATGATGGATATCGAGGACGACTCGAAGAGTGACGCCCAACGGGAACAGGAGCAAGCGCTCATAGAGGAGCTTCTCGAAATAGTCAACAAACGAGATCGACTAGTGCAAGATCTTGATGAACAAGAGAAATGGTAGCTATGTATAACGGCTATGACAATGAACAGTATTTAGTTCGTCTTGGTATGATACAAAAGCACCTATTCATCGCTTTCAACCATAATCTAGTGTTTGCCCTACAGTCCTCTCAACTGTGACAATGCAAAGCACCCAAGTACCACAGCAAGTTTAAGCTATAATTGGCCCATAAAAGGCAATGGTTTTAGGGGAGCGAATGCATCAATAACGATTCCCGTTGTTGTTTCACTTTCAGCATCGAGGATGATGAGTACATCGACATTGCCACCGCTCGTCGCCTTCAAGAAGAACAACGTGAAAAGTGTGTGATCCAATGAACTTGGACCGTCTAAGACATACACATAGATAATAATATCGCATTATTTTTATTATGACGAACGGCTTTGTATAAAATCTATTTCAAAGCCAGGTGGAAGAACCGACAGAAGCCTCCTAGTAGGGCTGGAGGATGTCACAGCATTTGGCCGATGACGCTAGATCCATACATAAAATTATGTGATAAAGATGCTGTTGATAACCTACGAAGCCGCCAGTTGAAACAAGATGATGGATGTAGCATGTATTCGTGGCGCGTGATTAAGGGTTCCTACTTGAACTTCAATCTAACAGATTTGGTTTGGGGAGTTATACTATGGCGAGAGGATGGTCATTACAACCTCATTAGCCAACTATTTCCTTCTTCGTATGTTTAATTCTGAAATTTGTGCGTTTGTACGACACAAGTGACTATCCGCAACACGAAGGGAATAGTGACTACTTCTGCAGGCATAATGAAATTCACGCTACGTTCGTAGTAGTTCTCGAGTAATAACTTACTTTAACATATGATGATGATGATGGTGATGATGATATATACCAATATGGAAAAAGAAGAGACAACGGGATGAAGTCGTGTCGAGTCTTCAACTCCATCCGCGCCATGATAAATGATAACGATGATAGAGCAAGCAGATAGCACGCCGAAATGCGTACGACAGGGAAAAACTAGGATTCAGGATGTAGTAGCGCGATACGGTGCTTAAGGGAAGATAAACAGACCTTTTCAGCACAAGTTCATTCAAGCTCGAGTCATTCATGGCTGTCCTCGGGCCGGATAGCCGCAGTAAGACACACCTCCAGTTGGTTATTTACTTGAAGGAACCTAAATATATTATGGACCGGAGTCTTGAAATGTTTTGTTTGTTTGCTTAATCGTTTAAGATTAAGGAAGTTCTCAGTAATCTTCCGATTACTGAGTAGTTATTTAACGACTTACCTAATAGTTTCACTTACCTTAGAAATGTTCTAAGTTCTACTATTTCGCTCAAAACAAAGACAATTTCTTTTCTGGCCGTGCGTTTTCACTGCTACAGTCGATGTCACTTGTGTACTTCATTGAAATTGTCGATGAAGTTGTTGCTTTTTTGCTAATCGCATACATTATTTACAATGGAAAAATGAGACTAGTAAGCGTTAGTACTATTATTATTATTTATGCTACACGACAACAAACCGGATAATGGTGTATATATTTTACGTGGACAGACGATACCAATGCGTATAAATAATGTACTAACATATACATATTGCCATTGAAGAGTAATACGTTTCTTAACGCGGGACGCTCAGTGTCCGTCAGCAAGTGACACCAAGTTGAAAAGTTCAGACTTTTTCGCGAGCATTCCGTGGTATCACAACGATTCATAGCGTACGTACTATTATAGTAATGCCCCTATTTCTAACTTACACACTGGAAACTAATGAGACGTATTTAATAATAATTATTATCTATATGTTTAGTTTAAAGATTGAGTGTATGGAATAATAGGGTCTGCCGCCCGCTTGCTAGTCGATATTCATCGCCACCAAAAACCTACAGTCTTATATCAGCGAGCGAACTACTCAAATACTACAGCCTATGGGCGATCTGTGTAGGGAGGCAGCCAGCAATCAAGAGACCGATGTTACAACTTTAGAAGTTACAGGTAAAACAGTGCCATTCAGCAACATATTCTTCACGTAGCAGCTATGTGTGATATTATAATATTGTAATGATGATTAAACTTGTAGCATTATAACACATAATAGATACAGCAAGGTATATAAAGCCAAGATCATGCCGAGGTTCGATAGGAGAAAGGACCTGCTACGTTTAAGAATTCGTCGCAAGGATGAGGCCTGAGAATAGGCACTACACTGATAATGACTAGAATGATTGCAGGAATCTTGGGGTGTTCTTATTGTGCAATAAACCGTACAATCTTCAATTTGTTATAATAACAGTATGATGGGTTTATTTAAGCGGAGTATGTTTAGACGGATCACTGACGTTTGGTGGCCAGAATGATAATGGGTTGAAACGCCCGCTATATATTTGGGTTTTCTGGGAACGAGAAATATTCATTTTAGCGTAAATGAATATCGCCGATCTGATTCATTTTTAAATTATTGTCCTTCTTATTCAGGCAAAGTGTGCATATATGAAAACCTTGAATGTCACTATTGGCCTACAGCGTTATTGGAAACGATGCTGAGATACAAAGCAGCAACCTATATGTTCAAAAACAGAAGTCATTATCATGCAATAAAACGTTTATTGTTCTCTTTCTTCTTATACATTTATTATCGTAAAGCTATTCCTAAATAAAAGCCGACGATTTAAACGGTGCCTAGTACCCTTATAATGTAGATGTTTGCCTAATCATCTCCATTACCCTTCGATCGATTGCATCTGACCGACAGTTCTGCTGACGTGTGCGAAATTGCTAACTTCAAAATAGCTACATTGGCGCGGCCTCCAGCGACTTCTCTTTCTGGCAGTCAGTACAGCCTCTTTACTTTTGAAATTTCAGCGTTGGAAAATGGTTACCGTGCCGCTCTATAGGTCTGTTAGGGAAACCGTAACCAGGTCCAGAAACGCCCACGTAGGTTAGATCTTCGAATAAGTACAAGTCCTTAATGCTATACCCTAGGGATGATCCAATACTTGAAGAGCACAGTCCTTCCGCTTCCGTTGTCCACCTTCGGAATCGTCTAGAGAATAACCAATCATCCAGTGAACGTTAGTGATTGTTAGTTTACCTTTATTATTTGGCCCATATTCAGTATTCAATGTGAGAAAGCTCGGTCTCGTGTCATAACATAGAGCTATTCTATAATGATGCTTTATTTTTTGACACTTAGTTTCTGCGATATATTTGCAGTTGTAATCATCTGAGACCCTTTACTCGTACAATGCTTTTAGCGGGCAAGTTGGAACGCACGTATATGGGCTATACCTTGGAACTTGGGAGGCGGAAGCAGCTTGCCGCATAGGCCGTCACGCTGAAATCACATGAAACTTCCAGTAATAAGTGCTATACTTCTGCACTAGGTAAAGTACGTCTTACTGGAAGCACTGTGAGCTGTTAGTTGACAAGATTTGAGAAAATAAACTTTGAATCGAAAGATGACTTTTGTCTGGACGTAGTGAAAACCCCCTTGGAGAGTGAATGACAAAAGGAAGTGGGTAACAAAATTCCATGGGTGTCAGCGCTCAGCTTTTAACGCTATCGAAGAGTTTGGCAAAAAGGGCAATTGTAAATCTTTGCCTATTAAATTTCAAGCCCGGAAATGACTAGGAGCTTTCCTGTAGGGAGAATCATCTTTGCTAAGGAACTGGTCTAGCACAATAAGGAGCGAGACATCGCAATGTCAGTTATATAGACGCACCGTTTTGCAGCGACGATAGGTTAAAGTTAATAAACACAGCTTAATTTTGTGCTTACGGATACTTTATTATTTTTCAAGCCTTTGGCTCGGCCGCTATCTGTCTGTCTATCTATCTATCTAGAAAGTATAATAACAATACTCTAATTGGATACTTTTAAGAATAATCAATATTGTAACAATTATATTCTCATAATAATATCATTATCTATTATGATAGAAATTACTGTTTTTTTTTTTTTTTTACTACTACTCGTGCGTACCCAGCGCTTTTCTAGTCTATTTCACAGTATGAGTTCTTACGTCTTTCGCTGCACTTCGTTCGCGTTTGTGGTGATACGGTACATATTAGTT